TGGGTGTGAGGGCTTCACGCTCCCTGGGGTGGGTAATCTGCATGCAACTAAGGAGGGGAAAGTGGCTTGCTAGCTGTCTCAGCTGCTGCTTCTCTCTGTGCTCCTTGCTGTTTTTCACCAGCAGTAATGGCTGCCCTCCCCCATGTGCCGCTCTACCTTCCAGACAGCTGAGTGTGGACTGAAACCTCTACTAACTGTGAACTAAATAAACCTTTCCTTCCTTGATTTCAGGTGCTGGGTATTTTGTCCCAGCAATGAGAAAAAAAAAGTAACTAAGACAGACAGTCTCCAAAGTATTTTTGCAACAGAATGAATGTAAATCAAATGTAACTGGAAGACAACGCGTTTGACAGCAAAATGCCTCTATTAAAATGCTGAGTATTTGGTATCTGAGTCACTGGTTTTAGGATGAGAAACGCTGGAGAAAAAAATAAAAGCGGAAAAACAAATTGATCCTATCTTTTAGCAAAAATATAGAAAATATATTTATCCACTCTTTATTCTGAACAGTGAAATAAATACAAAGGATACGTAGACTCTAAGGAATGACAACAGGAAGAATCTTCAGCCAGGTGCCATAATACGTCTGCAGTTCTAGCACTCTAGAAGGCCGAGGCAGGAAGGTTATGAGTTGCAGTCCCGCTTGGGCTGCTCAGCAACTTGATAAGACCCTGTCTCAAGGGTACAAAAAAAAAAAAAAAAATTTAAAAGTGCTTGGAATATAGTTCAAGATGAAGGGCTTATGTTCAATCTGAGACAAAGAGAGAGAGAGAGAGAGAGAGAGAGAGAGAGAGAGAGAGAGAGAGAGAGAGATTCCAATATACAAGTTTGAAGAGACCCGACCAGCTAAGCAAGCAGCACATAACTGTCTGCCCAGGAATCTCCAGGCAACACATTCAGACTCTGTGGACGGCTCAGCACACCCCAAGGGATGGCACCAGCATGGCATGTGGCACCAGGGATTGAACCCCAGTCCCGGAGCTTGCCTAAGTAGGTGCTTAGTCCACTGAGCTATCTCAGCAGCCCTGCATTTCAGAGTTTAAACAAATTTTTTTCTTTTTCTGAAGGTGGGCACTTGGCCATAGAAGTTAACCAAAACCACCTAAAACCATGTACTTAAGATTATTTGGACTTCAAGAGACGTCTCGGGACTGTTCTCAGATGTTTTATCGTGTTCCTACTGCCGGAGCTGCCTGAGGGTGCTAAAGCTGAAGATGTCCTTACTGACTGTCATTTGCTAACCATTCAGGTTGGGAGAGGCATTTGGAGAAAGTCTCCCAGTTACTGTGGAAGGAATATTCCTTCACTTTACCTTTGTCTATGGGCAATATCTGGGAAGAGGCAGGCTGGCCCCAGTGTCTGGGTCCGTGCTATGCATGTGTGAAGACAAGGGTCATGCTGCTGGCCATGTCAGTATTCTCTCCACAGCCTTGGTGTGCTGCTACCTTCCACTTCCTCCAGCAGACAAGCAAGAGGAGCGAAGCTTTCATTTATTCTAATGTTTGTAATGATTTGGCTCTTTCTTCCTTCTATATCTTAGTCCATTCTATTGCCTGAAGAAATTAGTGATAAATATGGGTTGCTAAATGCAGTATCAACCAAATCAGGGAACAGACCAGATAACTGATAACCCCTTCCCTTGATCATGGTTTTATAGTCATCAAGAACATGGATGTTTTATAAGGAAAAAGCTCAGAATCCCAGAATTTCTTTTCACACAAGTAAAAAGTAGAGATTGCTCTTCACAATAATAATTAACAACAATAACCTATGCTTTCTCACTATTTTAGAAACAGTACTAATGGACAAGCGTAAGGTCTCCATTCTGAAGTGCATAATTTTTGTGATGTGGTATAATTGGCTATGTGTATGTTCAGAAACAAAAGACTGGTGGTGTTTGTGCATCTCCTCATTAAAAGGAATCAGGGTGGATTCTTGTGGTCCCTACTTTGAACTACGTCCTGTAATCAGGTTCCCTCCAATGCTGAACCCAGTATCTAAGGAGAAAACTTTGGAGATTCGTCCAAGGGATGGTATGTTGGTGCTCCAATTGCATTCCATGTACAAGAATAACAGTGAGAGGTCTTTCTGGATCCCTTTCCTCTCTGTGTTTTGTGTCGATACCCTTCTGCTAAGGATCTATGTATCAGAGTTCCAGTGTTGGTGGCAGTGGAAAACGAACACATAAGTTCTGAAATTCAGCCCAAACTAAGCTTGAATTTTACTTTATTTATATTTATTTATTTAATTTCTGTATTTTAGGGAAGGAGCTACAGGGTGTTCAGGGTCTCACTACTAAATTAGATTTGTAGTGATTCTCCTGTTTACAGCCTCCCAAGACCTGGGATCACAGGCGTGTGCCACCATGCCCAGTCTCAATTGCAGCCTCAGCATGCCCTCAGGGCGGGGCCAGCACTGCAGGCCCGGGGATCGAACCCCTGGGCCCTGCACCTGCTTGCAGGTGCTTCAATCTGCTGAGCTATTTGGCCAACCCTAAGCTTGAATTTTAGAAATGTCCTACGACCTTTTCTCAGTTACACAGCTGGAAAGAGAACAAGCTTGGTTTATAAAAACTTCTTTACAAAGAAAAGCCAACCAATACAGTGCTTACACATCCAGAACGCAGTTAGCAATTAAATGCTTAAACTCCTCCCTGCTTTAGAAATGCCTATCATCCAAGTGATCCTGAGAATGAAAAAATTCCCCATACTCTAATCTTAAAATTGGGTTAGAGATCATTTTCCTAGCACTAGGACAGAACACGGAACATAGTTATAAACTTCATATGGGGCAAAAGTCGAACAATGTACTCAAGGGGTAAATTCCAAAATTTAAGAAGCAAACAAGCAGATTGTTTGGGTACCCAAATGCACTTCGATGTCTTTTCTGTACTTTCCTGTTTCCCCTAAACTACAGTTTTGCAAATTCCGAAGTTTCAACTAATTTATACCCAAGTCTTAACGTTCACTTAATACTCTCCAACTCTATTAAATTAGGAAGTGACAAATTTTAAATATCTGCAAATTCTTCTCCCCCAGATCAAAATATTAGGGCCAGAGATATAGTTCAATGGCGTAAGTGCCTCCATGGCAGGCCCAAGGTCTCAAGTTCAATCCCCGGTATGAAAAAAAAAAAGCCTCAAAATATTTATTTAAAAATGTTAATGTACCATGTTGAGAGCCACTGCCACCCCTGTGTTTTAGGTTCAAATGTTGTTGTGGTCTTGTTTTTTATGTGACTAACATTTTAGATTTATCACATATTCCAAAATTAAACAAGATTATATTCATCTGTTACCAAGATCTTTCTCTCCTTTCTTCCTACCACTCTCTGCTGATTTGAAATGAACTCTGGAGTCTCAAAGTTTCTTAAATAAATTCTAGGAATTTGTGTTTCTTTTTTTTCTTTCTTTTGTCTTTTTCTGTATTTTAAAGAAAGGTCTACAGGGTGTTCAGGGTCTCACTACTAGATTGGACTCATAGTGATCTGCCTGTTTACATCCTCCTAAGTGCTGGGATTACAGGGGCTTACCACCACCCCCAGTCTCACTTGCTGTCTCAGGGAAAGCATCAACACAGCAGGCCTGGGAATCGAACCCCTGGCCCCTGCACCTGCTTGTAGGTGCTTTAATCCACTGAGCTATTTGGCTGACCCCACTTTGTGTTTCTCTACTGGTTAAAATCTACTATAGAGAAAGGCTTGTCTACTTTGCCCATAGTACCCTAACATAAATATGATAATATATTCTTTTCTTCCTTATTAAGCTGTTAGAGTAAAAATCAGCAGAAGTACTATAATTTTGTTTTGTTCAAAATCTTTTAGTCCACACAACTGCCCACGATGACGACGCACACTATCACAACTCATCTATCTAATTTACCACTTAGAACCACAACCAATAGAAGCAATTTGATTGCCTTCTAGACAATCCATGACCTTCAGAGAGCAAATATTTATGAGCCCATACATTTCTGAGTAAATCAGGAAGGAGAAAAGTTCTAAGAGCTAAAAAAATGCTTTAGAGAACTTAAGGTAAAACAAAAAAGAACAAATTCCTTACTTCAATTCATGCTAAAGTAAGTCTTTGAGAAATGGAAGTTTTATTCCTCTCTTATTGTTGCAGACAGCAATAGGAAGGAGTTCATTTGCTTTTCTCTGTGATAGTCAGTGTAAATACATTTCAGAGCTTTCAGGTACATGTTCATAAATGTACACACTCAACTGTACACAGATACACGTGCTCTCATGCACACACACATGCACATACATGATCCAAACATGTGGCTCTGAAAGTGATTATATAATGTACAGTGGTCCACATGGTATGAACATGACAAGGTCGTGTTGAAATATCTAGGTAGATAATGACACATAAGGTCTACTTAGCACATCTTGTAAACACTGTGACGATATCTTTACCCAAACCTTCAAAATAAATGAAGGAATATAACATTACTCTTTCACTTCTACTTAAAGTACTTGAATAGAAAAAATTAAATCATCTTAATTACATTTAATGTGACATTGATATTGCCTGGCTGGACCCTGTGGTTTCTCTGTCTCTCCCAAAGCGGAGACCAGCAAGAGCAAACCGTAGATGGAGTAAGTCTGTAAATAGCAAAAATAAAACAATACTTACCTCTATTCACTTTCCCCCTAGAGAATCTATGAGCTGGGTGTTCTCAGCTGGGCAGTGGGAAGAATGTTCTTTAGTTAATAATACAGGAAAGAAAAGACCTGGACAGCAAGAACCTGGGTTAACCATTGACGTCGGTTTGTCCTTAGGGTTCCACCCTGCAAATCTACATAGGACGCCCCTGGCATCTTATAAGCAGGCCATTGCCAGTCAGCTGAGACAGCAATGACCTCACTAACTCCTCACTTGAGAAGGAGGTACAGTGTGAAGGTCACTCAAGCGCATGCAGACGAAGTTTTCCCCTAGGGTAGAAAGGAGGAAGATTTCCTCAGCCAGAAATATGCTCGACAATGCCAGTAGGTGACTCAGATGTTTACAAACAGGATTGTTGGGAGCTAACCTATGGAAACATTCCTGTCAGTTCTCAGACTTTGAACAGGACAGAGAAAGCCTGTCGCCAAAACTCTTTGTCTATGTATCAACAGGTAAGGGTTGGGCTTGCGTGCCAATGAAAACTGAGAAATAGCTCAGCACCCACGCATTCCTCGCTTTAGCGTGCCTTAGGTGATTGCTTAGTTTGAACAGGGCATTGGTTAGCCTTGGCTAGCAGAAAACAGACTGGTGACAGAGCTCTCTCCTTCCTCCAAGACAAGGACAGGAGCTTGAGACTGAGATGCGTGGTAAATAACATGCAGGCTGTGGTCCTTGTGCTGAGTCTGAGGGAGCTACCCTGCTGGCTGGGGGCCCTGCCGGGCTGAAAAATGTTGAGGTGGTCGGTCACATGGTCAGGCTACCTTACCTGAAGGTGGACTGCTGAGTGATAAAATAGGAAGTAGATCTGTAATGCAGGAGTAAAAAACAAGGTCCAGAAAACATGAAAGGCAGCCATGAGGAACTAAAGAAACAGCAATCCTGAGCTTTTCTGAGCCAGAGGGAACTGTATTCAAGAACGTTCAATGGGAGACTTTTGATGAATGGGAATTGCTGCTTGTCTTTACTCAGAAGAGTATTTGTAGGCAGGAGATCTAGAGGAACAATGTGTTGTGCAACCCTCTAAATTTAAGGAACATTTCCTAGATTTGACTTTTTTTGTTGCTTGGGAAGTGGTTATGCTTTAGGTTTCCATTTTTAAAAGAATGGGGTGTTAAGAAAGTACAAAAAGATTTCAATGTTGGCGTTGTCCTTCACCAGCTGAATGACCTTGGAATCACCTTTGCTTTTCTTTATCCTGGTTTCTTTATCATTAAGGTGGGGATGAGGTTGGTAGTAATAACAACAGCAACAGTTCCTACACCAGGTAGACAATCCATGTTCCAGACTGTTAGCTCCTGTGAAGGATCTGACATCCTGATGGGATTATGGGCTTTGCAACCTGTTGCACAACCCTTGCAGAAAAATCTGAACCTTCCAAATAATCTAACTTTTCAGCCACCCATAAATGTTAGGGAAGCAGAATACCCAGAGGTTGCCTTTGCTGCAGCAAAGTTTAAAACCATGACACACATAGACATTTTAGTACTAATTGACATCTCTCACTGTAATGTGCCCATAATCAACTGAGCTTGCTTGGTAAGTGGCTATTGTCAATTCAGTCCCTTGTGGGAATGCTGGGCTCCCTTCAGTACTGTTCCATCTCCAAGGACTTTTAAGGAGTCCAGAGACATACGTGACTCCCTGGGCTCTGGACAGAGAACTCAAGGCAGGTTGCTTGGTTTGGGTAAGAATTTGAGTTGGTTTGAAACAAGACACATCCATGCACAGCACAGAAAAGAGCAGAATGGAAGACTTGATGGGGAAACTGGATCGCTTCCCAATTCCAACTGAGTCAGAACTTCATAGCGTGGCTTCATTCCTTGGTTGGAAGTAAATTCTGGGAATAGCAGGCACACCCACGCACACACGTAAGTAGAAAAACACTTTCCAAAGCCAAGTGAAAATGATAACTGGATTTGGGAATTGGCTTTTCTATTGCACGTTCCGTATACCCCCAATCTACCTTCCATGAAAAATTGGCATTGTTGAAACTCAGCTTTTGTGTCCTGCAATCTCCCCGGAACAGACAGAAAAACTAAGGGCAACTGAAGGGGCTTGCTTGTGTATGGAACTGCAAAATCACGAGATGATGAAAGAACTCATTACGTGAGCATCCATTCTGTACTAATAAATAATTTTTAGAGTAGATGATTCTCTTTTTAAACGATCTGTCCTTGACTGCTGTTCAACAACTTCAGCAATAGCTTGGAGGATGGGTATGCTACACAAAAGAGCTCTCCACAGTATGGAGTTGAAATGTGCTTCATCTGGCTCTAGCCTCAGCAGAACGTGGCTTGTTTCCAGTTTTTGTGAAAACTGAGCTAAGAATGTTTTTCACATTTTTTGAATAATAAAGAGAATACAAGCAAAAGAACAACACTTTTATCTATGGGAATTATATGCAATTCAAAAGTTAGTGTCAATAAGGTTTAGAGTAGCACAGTCACACATATTTACCTTCCTATCGTCAATAATAGATTTTACACTAGAAAAAGGTAGAAACCAGGGGAGCTCATTCTCAAGAGAATTTTGGCCCTTAAGGTTTAAATATGTGGTATCTGTCCTTTAGCTTTTACCAACCTTCAGTCTAGCTAAACCATAACACTCCTTCCTCATCAAAGGTAATGATGCTCTTTTCCAATTCATTATTTCTTCACATGGTTCAGTCCAAGAACATCTCTATGACTTACAATCCTATTCTTGGAGTTTGCATCCTAAATGTCTTCCAATGGACCACGTGCTACGGAACTGTGTACGGAACTGCAAAATCACTGCTACCAGCCTGAGATACTGCTGGGAGGTGGTAGAATCCTGGAGCTTGGGGTCTTGCTGGAGAAAGTGGGTTACATCATGAAGGGGCCATGGGACCAAGCCCACCTCTTCTCTCCCTCCCCCCTCCCCTTTCTGTCTCCCTGTTCTTCTCTCCCCTCCCTCCTCCCTCCTCCTTCCTGCCTCCCCTCTTCCCTTCTCCCTTCCTCTGTCTCTCTCTCCCCCTCCTTCTTCCCTCCTCCTTCCTCTCCCCCTGCTTCCCTCCCCTTCCTGGCCATCAGTAGGTGAGCAACTCTGCCCCACTATGAGCTCCCACTATGAGGTACTGCTTTGCCTCAGGCCTAGAATCCACATATTTTCTGACTGAAATGTTTGCATCTTGAGCCAAAGCAAACTTTTTCCTCCATCAACGTTGGTGTATTTCTTTTAAAGAGAATAAAAAATAGTACAAACAGAACAAAACATTAGAGGTGATACAGAATTTCACTAAACAGAGTAATAGGAATTTATTTATTTATTTATTTTGTGGTACTGGGGATTGAACTCAGGACCTTGTGCTTGCCAGGCAAGTGCTTATTCTACTGAGCTATCTCCCCAGCCCTTAGTAATAGAAATTTAAAAGTGGTTGTTATGTTGCATAATGTTGTCTTCAAATTAGTTGTTTAGATTAACAGATACAAGCATACAAAATTGGTAATAAATGAATAAAGTTATAACAAATTAAAAAGAAGAAGAAAAAAGTTAAGCATTAACTGCTCCTTTCAACAGACCAACAGAAATGAGCAGTACAATTATCCGGGCTATCCTGTACATATGCATAAATGTGTCTTTTTCCCTTGCTTCCTTCTTTCTTTGGTCTTTTTCCTCATCCCAGTTGTTCCTTCCATTTGAACAGTTTCTCCCTTTCACAGTATTTATTATACCTTTCAGATTTTATGTACTCCTTCAGGTTCTTACCCAAGCCTGTCAATATGATGTTGGCACATACTGGTCTGGTTTATTTCACTTGTAGGTATGGTCTCTAGTTGTATACATTTACCTATAAAAACCTTGATTTTGTCTTTTTTTAAATAGATTCGTAATACTCCATTTTGTAAAAATACCACGTCTTTTTTAACCATTTCTCAGTTGATGAGAATTTGGGTTGTTTCCAAGATTAAGCTACGACAAATTGTGCTGCTATAAACATGGGTGCACATACATCACTGTGGTGTGATGTTCTCAGTTCTTCTGGAAACATATTTAGAAGGGGCGTAGCTGGATTGAACAGGACCTCTCCCCAATGAAAACATTGATGTATTTTGGCTATTTGTCACAGTGTTGGAAAAGTAACTGATGTACCTATCTTTCCCTCAGGGTTTTTCCACTAACTTCTTTTCTGTTCCCTTTAAATATCAATTAATAATTTATTTAAAAGTTAAAAATAAAACTTTTTAAGGAACCCTTTCTTTAAATCTACAGGTTACAATTCTCTGTTGTACTTCTTTTTCCTTTCATCAAGTTTTGAATACTAGTAGAAAGCGACTGTTGAAGCTTACCAGTCTTCCAGAACATTCCATGCCCATCTCTTCCTCCTCTGCAGGGGCATAAGCCTTCTTGCTGTGGTTACTTTGCCCAACTTCCAACTTTCAAGTCAGCTCTGGCTCTCAATTTTCCTCTCTTCATTGCTGAGGCTCTTAAAATTCATCTTCCGAGCATCTCATCTCCACTGGAAGGGCTGTGTGTGTCTTGCTCTATTCCAGGATCTTTAAAACTAGATAGTAAGAAGCAAAGAAAAAAGGAAAAGTGAGAAAACTTGAATTTTATTCTTCAGAGTGCAATCCAGTCCAACATCATAATAAAACTATCCCTGATAGTCCAACAATAGCTCAACCAAAAGAGGTAAAGTTTGACGTATCATTAGAAATAGTCTGAAACACTGGTTAACATGGGTTAAAAGGTACATTATTTGGGTGGAAATGGGGCAGAATAAAAAAAAAATCTTTAAAAATCATGCCTCGGGGCCAGGGAGATGGCTCAGTGGAATAAGCGCTTCCCTGGCAGGCACAAGGGCCTGAGTTCAATCTCTGGTTCCGAAAAAAAAAAAAAATCACACCTTAATTTTAAAATTATGTAAATATTTAGTATTGATAATATGGATAGGACTACAAAGAAGTCAAAAGAATTAATTCTAATCCTTCATTTTCTTTGGCAAAATAGTTTCCAATCTTTTTCCCAAATGCTTTTGCATAAAACTGAGATGTATTTGAATCTTGTGTTTTAAGCTTTAAAGATCTCTTGCATTAAGACAAAAGAATGCACTTCTCACCACCGCCTTCCCAACATCCAGGAGATAAAGGCCAAGGTGATCTTTTGGAGCTTGCATATGTGCCTTCTGCGACTCTCCAATCACACTGAGAGTACTGAGATGCTTTTCTTTCCTTCTCTGTTTTTTTTTTTTTTTTTTTTTTAATGTATATACTGGCTGCAACCAAGAAAGAACATCAGGGAAATTCTACAAGAAGTCCTTGTGAACTGAAAAGCTGTCAACCTCCTGGGGGAAGCGTGTCTTCCATAGGAATGCGAACTGTACCAAAGATAATTGATTTGATTTCAAATGACATCCTCATCTTAAAGACTTTTGCTTTTGGTAATCCTGCTTTGGTCTACCAGGAAGATCTCAAATAATTTCTTGGTTATTTCATGTTCTAATCCCCTAACTGACTTCGTTTCCGCAATGATTGTTTAGTTACGTAATATTTAAGGGAATTCAATTTACCTGCATCTTTCTATTCTATCATTCACTGTTCATGGAGAGGTGTAACACTTTCCTCCCCTCCTGATAGCTGTCTTGTGCTGTTTCAAGCTTCAGGAATGAACTGTAAAAAGGAAAGTCTTCATTGCCTTACTCCCATCCAAGACATTTTTCGTAATGCTTTCCTTCCCCTGAAAATAAGAATTAAAAGTTGTATTTCTTTTGACAGCTGGTAACTAATCCCACTTTAGCAGGAAGGAGAACAGGAAGCCAGCAAAGGAATTTTCCATTCCTGTCTCTTTTAATTTTTTTCTACATCAGGTACTTTTCAAGATCTAGACATCTCCAGTTGCTTTGTGTATGTTCTTGTTTTGTCTACCAGAGTCACATGTGCTCCAACTTCTTTTGGGCAGAGGAGAAACCTGACTGAGCCTCTGTTTGTATTTGGAGGAGAAAGAACTTGAGAACTTTTGAATTTCCCAAGGGACTGGAGCTGAAACGCGATGCCTGTGTTTGTGCAAACAGCCCTCTTTCCCTTTGTGAAGATAAAGTTCATACAGTGAGCCCATCAGACCGCAAATCCAAATGGCTCACACAGTAACAAGAGCTACAACTTTGATTCCTGCAACCAGTCTGCTCAAAAACTGTTTCCCTGCCTGTCAGCCTTCCTCTATTCCCTCTCTCTTTGCTTCCCCGTGTTTCCTCATTCCTTCAGTTCTATTTAGCTACTGAACACTTTGTGTATTTCACCGTGCCTGCCCAGGTAAGTGTAAGATGCAAAGGGGGACCTAAGGAAATTGTCTTGGACCTGCTTGTGCAAGAACCGATTCAGTCTCACATTTTCATAAGATAATGTAAAATATTCGAACAAATAACTTTTTTTTAATTAAACTAATGAAATGATAGTTTCCTAGAGCTGTCATTTTTGTCCAAAAATGACAGTCGCAGAAGTTGATGTCATTTCACATGCAACAATTTAAGTGCAGGTGTACAGCAGCATACTATATTCTGTATAAGTGACTAAAGCCAGGCTGAATAGACCTTTGATAAAGCATGAATCTGGCTTATATGTAGGCCAAAAGGAGTAAACTACAAGAAGCAAGTTAATGATGAACGCTGTAGTTACAGGGTAGAGGAGGATTAGATGCATGCAAATGGAACAAACCTCACTTTGTTATTTAGAAGCGGATGAAACTAAGGAACGTAAGACAAATTAGGAGCTCAAATAATTCTGCATGTTGAGAGACTCATTCTGAAAATTCTTCACTTCTTCCTATGAAGGAAATCCTTTATTGACATCACTAAGTAGAGGCAGACAAGTATAGGGAAAGCATCAAGGGAAAAGAAGTCCGCAAATCAGGTTCTACTTTTGGACTAATGACCAATTTGAGATACCACCTTTGCTTAGACATATTATTCCTCCAAATCTTTGTGTTCTATGCAAATCAAGAGTTGAGTGCACACTTCTAAATGAACTATTTTAGTTTTTGTCCCTATTGTAACGAAATGAAGAGAAGACAAAAACAAGGACGGGAGTGTTGTCGCTGTCTCTTCTGCATTCCATACTCAATATTCAGCACCTTCCCTTACCCCTGAAAGCTCAAGGAATGAATAAGACTATAGAATACAGAAAGTTTATACAAAGCAAATGACTGACCAATTCCACTCTTTAGAAAAGTCAAGCTACCGCTTGACTACCTAGCATAGGTCATAGGTTAGATTCATGTAGACCTCTTGCATGGTACCAAAACTTTGTAGCCATATCTAAGTAGTCTAAATTGTAGAAGTCACTTGCTTCTGTTCACACATAAATGTTCTCAGCAATTCCAGGAAGACCGGCTACATTTTTGTACAATCTCACGCTTGTCATCTTTTTAGATTGACAGTGCTGTACTGGCTACAGGACTGATCTAACCAACTGAAA